GAGAGAGAAAGAGGAGATGAAAAGGTAGGTGGCAGACAGCTCAGTAGATGATGGTGCCATTCCTACAGCAAAAGATTCGGGGGGGGGGTATTTTTTTTTTTTTAAGATTTACTGACTTGTTTGAAAGAGTTACAGAGAGGGAGGCAAAGGGAGGGAGGGGGAGAGGAAGAGAGAGAGAGAGAGAAGAGAGAGAATCTTCCATCTACTGGTTCACTCCCTGAATGGCTACAAAGCCAGATTGGCCCAAGCCAAAGGTAGGGCTGGGCCAGGCCAAAGTCAGGAGCTTCTTCTGGGTCATCCACATGGAGTGCAGGGGCTCAAGCACTTGAGCCATCTTCTGCTGCTTTCCCAGGCCCGTAAGCAGGAAGTTGGATCAGAAGTGGAGTAGCACGGATGTGAACTGGCACCGATATGGGAGGCCAGCTTTGTAAGTGGCGGCTAAACCTGCTACCCTATAATGCCGACCTTGAGGTGGGTATTTCTGAGACTGGTGGAGGCAGGCGATGAACACATCTTTGGGTGTGTTGGCTCTTTGAGTCACCTCTGGGACAACTACTGGAGAGGTTTGTGGATCTGTGGTCAAGGAAAAGGATTTGGGCTACAAATACAAACGTTTGAGTGGTCGGTATGTGGACTGTATTTGAGGCTATTGGAGTGGTAAATATTTCTCAAGACAGGTCTGTAGAGTAAGGGGAGGAGGGAGGCCAAGGTGAAATCCTAGGACGGCATCAGTGAAGGGAAGTGGGCAGGGGGCACGGTGAATCACATGAGGACAGAATGTCCACAGAGACAGGGGAAATAAGAATGTCACAGACACCAAGGGAAGAGAGGGGACAGTAAGCAAAATAGCAGAATAGTCAAGAATCAGTGGGAACTAGAATACATTCTTTCCTTGGGCTCTCCACTGTCCCCAGCAAGGGAGGCACCAACAATCTGGGGTGAAGGAGTTTCAGAGGAGTGGTGGTGGAGGCAGCCATAGTTAGGTGGAAAAGTCTGACTGAGAGATGAGGAAGCATAAGTAGCAGGTCCAGCCAACTCCTGGGATGGCTGTGAGGGGGAGGCACAGAGACAGAGGGGCAGCTGGGGGTGGGTGGGGGTACCTGGGGCTGAGGGGGAGGCGCAGAGACAGAGGGGCAGCTGGGGGTGGGAGGACCTGGGGCTGAAGGAGGGTTTCAGGTACAGGAGTGATGTGGGCACGTTTAGGTGTTCACAGGAAGGAGTCAGGTCAGAAAGGGCGAGGGTGAGTAAAAGAACATCCTGAGCAGGTAGCAAGGAGGGGTCCCGCTCATGGTGGGAGGCTCAGCCACTGTGTTGGGAAGGGTCAGAGAGTTCCCACTTGGTGGTTCTATGTTGTCCTCTAAAATTGATGGGGGCTGGGGCTGGCACTGCGGTGCCGTGGGTTAAGCTGCCAACTGGTGCTGGTTCAAGTCCCAGCTGCTCCACTTCTGATCCAGCTCCCTGCTACTGTGTCAAGGAAAGCAGTGGAAGGTGGCCCAAGACCTTGGACCCCTGCACTCACATGGGGGACCCAGATGAAGTTCCAGGCTTCTGGCTTTGACCTGGCCCAGCCATGTGGGGAGTGAACCAGTGGATGGAAGATTCTCTCTCTCTTTTGTTTTCTGTAACTCTGATAAACAAATATTTAAAACAATGAAGAGAAGAGTGAGGTTGGGGTAAACACTGATGAGTGTTTGATGTACTCTAATGAACGAATGAGCCGGTGAGTGAGTGAGAGAAGGAATGACCAACTCGTGACTACTTTGGCGCATTCTGGGACTACTTTGCTATAATCCTGGAAACTTGAAGGAAACACTAGGCTAGGAGAAGCCACCTTATCAGAGTGCAGTGGCCTCAGGGTCAGATGAGCTACACGTGGGCAAGCTTAGCCTGTCAGAGTCACCATTTGTGTTCTCTAGACCAGCACGGATTCAATACAGTGCTGCTCACTACTTGGAGCCCCTCATCACCTCCATGTCCAGTCCAAACTGAGATGTGATGTCCAAGTGCAACACACACTATTACTCAGGACAACAACACCTCATTTAAACATATGGATTACATGCTTTCATGCCAAACTATTGGATCTACAGGGTCAAAAAATTGTTAATATTAATTTCATCTGCTTTATTTGCTTATTTACTCACTTTCGATATGAGGCCACCAGAAAATTTGAAATTTTGAATGTGGTTGGCAGCACTGCTCCCAGTCCTGGTCAGTAGCATCTGTAGTCCAAAAGGAAGCCTTATGCACCCCCTGTATATTGTCCAAGTTCAACCAATACATTCGTGAATGCAGCCATACTGCTGAACTTCCACATGTACCTGTTGTTCTAAGTAAAATTTGGTCCCTAAGGGCTTAAGTTTCCTGTACATAGGAAATGCTCCTAAAAAATTCTCCTTCAGTCCCTCTGAGGATTATAAAACCTCCCAACTGCCCCACTGGCAAGGTTCTTTTTAGTTTTTATTTTAATATTTATTTATTTGAAAGGTAGAGCAACAGGGAGAAGGGAAAGACACACACAGAGAGGAAGAGAGATCTTCCATCTGCTGGTTCATTCCCCAAATTGCTGCAACAGCCAGGTCTGGGCCAGACCAAAGCCAGGAGCCAGGAACTCCATCTAAGTCTTTCATATGGGTGCAGGCACCCAAGCCTTTGGGCCATCTTCCATTGCCTTCCTGGGAGCATTAGCAGGAAGCTGGATGATAAGCAGAGTGGCAGGCACTCTGACATGGGAAGCTGGTGTTGCAAGTGGCAGCCCGACCGCGGTACCGTAGAGGCAGCCCTGGCCCCGCAGGTTGGTTCTGCCCCCTTGAAATCACACTGATGATGGAATCAGGTGCGCATTATTGCCCTCATTACCACTGTTGGCACGCAAGAGCCTGACTTCAGCCTGGGATTGTAGCAGAAACCTCCCCTCCATGAATTAACAGTGATCTGAGTTGTTTTCTGCCCAAGTTCAAAGAACATAATAGTAAACAGAGAGCTTACCTTGGACTAGGCATGGTAAGGAGAATGGAGAGGTTCCACAGGTAGGAAATGGCAGAGGCCGGGTCTGAACTCAGCTGGTCTAGCACGATGATGCGCACCTTCCAACCTAGCTGACCATGGATCAGGAAGCAAGAAGAGAGAAGCCTTGCTTAACTCACCTTACAAAAAACCACGGCATAGGCCAGCCTGCCATGCTGTGCCCTCTTTGTGCACTGGACATTCAGCCAAGGCTAGCTGTATTAGCAGAGGTGCCCACACTGCACATCCGGCTAACTTGGTGAGGGTCTGAGGACCTCATCCCAGACCTGTGAAGTCAGGACTCTGGGAACGGGGCCTAGAAATTTGTATTAATTTTTGTTCCCAAATAGATAAGGTTACTAGTACTTCACATAATGGCAAATACAGATAAGTACCTTGTTCCACAATCTGATTTGAACTTGGACTTCCGTGTAACTACTGGCACAAAATGGAAGAAAGGCAGGCACGAAGAGGGTTGACTTCAGGCAAGAGGAGGGTTGACTTAAGCACGTCAAAGACGAGCGCCTGGCCTTGGGGGCTCCTTGGGTGGACCTAACATTTGTGCACTACTCTCTAGTCAGCTTGGCAACTTTCAGAGGGCTGGGGCCTCCTACCCCTCTCGGCCCAAGGGATGAGCGCCGCTGCCCAGGGCAGATGCTGGGGCCTCTACAGCGGGTGAGTACCATCGCACACAAGGTCACGCACTGACTCTCTCCTGCTTCCTCCTCCTAGCCTGTCAGTGTTATGATGTATCCAGCCGGTCCAGGATCTGGTGACTCCCCGGAGGGCTTCCCAGAACAACCAAGGCTCCAGCCACAAATCGGAAGTTGCACAGCTCAGACACTGGGTACTGATGGGGGGACGACACGCTGACCTCTTCCTGCTGCAGGCGGTGGTGGGTGCGGGAGGGAGGCGGCGCTCAGACAGGTCTTGCCCAGCACCGGGGAAGATGGGGGGACTGGTCTCCCTTTAGTGGCAGGCTCCAAAGTTTAATCTCGAGATACCGCAAGGTAAACAAACCACCAGTCGGACTTGCCCCTGGCTTGGCAGAATTGCTTTCCTTCTGAGACGCCCTTACCAACGGGGCACGCTCTGTCTTCCAGGTTAGGAGCGAGGGTGGACTCCTATCGTGCCCTAGAGTCTGAGCTGGGGACGGCGGCAGAAGCAGGAAGAGGGCGGGGTGGGGACAAACTCTCGGTCCTCCCTGGGATGGGAAGGGCTGGAATACACGAGTCGGGGTGAGGCGTCGCCCTGAGGGAAGTCCAGCCCGCCTCCATTTTGCAGGGAAGAAAACCGAGAGGCCAGAGTTTAGTCAGCGGCGAAAGTGACAATACAACTGTGGCTTCTGAAAGATACGACAAAGGCTTCAGCGAACCCCTTCCTGTGAAACCCGCGCCCTCGTTGGGCGACTCGGAGCCAGGCCGCACCCGTTGCCATGGCAGCGGGCGCGCGCACTCCGGTACCTTGCGCTCCCAATAAAGTTGTTGTTGAAGCTCGGGCGGAAGAAGCCGCAGCGGCACCACGTGGCCAGGCTGGGGGCGGGATCTGCCGAGGCGGGGCGGGGCCGGGCCAGGGGGCTGACCTGGCGGGCGACGGAGGCGGAGGGCGACGGATGCGGGCGCGGGCGCGGGCGCGGGCGCGCGAGGCGGGCCATGATCGCGTCTTGCTTGTGTTACCTGCTGCTGCCGGTTGCGCGCCTCTTCCGCGCCCTCACAGGTACCGGCCCCGCGTCCTGACAGGCGGGAGCCCGGCCGGGGCGGGGCCGTGCGGGGCAGCGCTGGGCCTGGGGCAGCGGGCGGTGCGCCCTGCTTCGCGACCACCGTCCCCCGGGCAGTGCCCACTTGTGGGGATGCCGTCCCGGACCCGCGGGGTCCAGCGAGGCCTCAGAAGTCCCGGGCCCGGCCGACGGCCCCTCCTCACGTCTGTGGTCTGCTGACGTCGGGCCACGGTTAACCTGGAGCCGGGCAGGGGAAGGGGCGCGCCTGCCTGTCCCTGGGAGTGCCCTGGCTGCGGGGTCCGGGAGGGTTGGCAGCTCCGGGCCGACGCAGAGGCAGGGCGGCCCTGCGGGACCTACCCGCCTTCGCCTGGTGAACTTCCGCCCCGTTCACAGCTGACTCTGGGCTCTGCTCAGGGGCAGGGACACGTGGACATGTCAGCGCTGGCGCCTTGGCCGGGTGCCCGCGCCCCTGTGCCGGGGAGGGGCGGTGCCCTGCTCCGGAGAAGAGGCAGGGTTATTACTTCACTTTTTCGCAATCTGCCTGCTTCCCCGTCCGTGGTCTTTGACATCCCGCGGGGCCGCCAGACTTCTGCGATTTCGGAGCAGGAACGCGGGCTACTTTCTCAGCAGGCGGGGTCCCGCTGTGCGGTCCGTGTTTTCCTTTCTGGAACTTAACGCGGTGTGTGTGTGTGTGTGTGTGTGTCATTGCTAGCATATGTTTCAGCGGAAGCTTTTTCATTTCGGTTTTCCTGTGTGCCTGCATTACAGCGCAAGCTTCGGCAGGGCTGGGCCAAGTCCGTTCTGTGCAGCGTCTCTCCAGCGCCAGTGCCCTGCCTGGTAGAGAGCAGGTACCCAGTGAACTCGGGCGGGAATGCAAAACTCCCCAGAAGTCGTTGTTTACAGGAACTAAGCCTGCTCCTTCAACCGCCGCTGTCGCTGGAGCTGCACCCGCGTCCGGAGCGGCAGCCCTGTAGCAAACACTAGTGACAAGAGCCTTGTGCTTGTATTAGCTGTGCAGATTTGGTTTTTAGATAAGATTTTTTTTTTCAAAGAAAAGCATTCTATTTCTGAAAAACAAAGCACCACCACCACTACCAAAACAACAATAAACAAAAAAAATCAAAAGCTGCCAGATTTGAAAGCTGGTAGCCTCCTGCATGGAGGACGGAGAGCCTCTGCCCTCTGTTATACACAGGGCACAGAGTGGGTCCCTCACACCAACACCTGCGACCCAGCCTGTGGGTTTAGAGCAGGCGCCATTGTCATTTTGGGCTGGATCACTTGTTGAGGGTCTGCCTGTAGCCCTGTCTGCTCACCTCTGGATGCCCGCAGCACTGCCACGGTTGTGACAGCCACAGTATCCGTGGACATTGCTAAGTGTCCCCTGGGGGCAAAGTCACCGAAATGCACATAGGCCCTAAATAAGACTTTTGAGTTATCTTTCAATATTTAAGCCATTTTGAGGTTTTTCTTGCCTTTAAATATAACCGCCAGTACTCATAAAGCAATTCTGTGGAGACTGTGGGTCCGCTGTGTGTGTGTCGCCTGTCCTGTGCTGTGACTTGGTGGCTTAGGTGGGGAGGGGTCTGCTCTCGCTGATATGCTGGGCTCAGAGTTTGGGGACTCTGCCCTCTCGCCTGTTGGCTATCATTTGTGGCTGCGGTAGCCGAGCAGTGACAGCTGACTCTACTGTCGGTTGTTGGCACCTTCTGGGTTACAGTCTCTGAGGTGCTGTGGAATGGGAAAGCGGATCATGGAACAGGAAGATTTTACGAGTGGAGTAAAGAGCTTTGAGAAGAAGCCTTAGGGCCTTCACTCAGAAGTCAATTGTTTGGATTTGTAGACTGTCTACTCTGGGGCATATATATATATATATATATATATATTTTTTTTTTGCAGTGAGTGCTTTCATAGATTTGGTGACTCAGGGAGCTTGGAAAGCTCCTGAGGGCGATCTTGTCCCCATCTTACAGTCCAGAGTGAGGGGCATTGTCGGAGATAATTATTGTTGGAAATGTTGGAATTAATTTCAAGGCCGGACCCTAACCTGTGGTTCCGACTCATGGCTCCCACGTCATGTGATTCTCTGAACCAGAAGGTTGCTGTTAGCGGCTGTGTTAGCGTGCACACGGAAGGGGCGTGCCTCTGTGTGCCCGTCAGTGTCTTGGATTACACAGGACAGCAGTCTTTCACTGGGGCACCGGGTGAATATTATTTGTGTGTCAGGTCCCTACCGGGTAAATTAGGGGAAGCACTTAGCACAGCGCCTGGCACTCTGCCGTGATGGGGGTGGCCCAGGCGTGAAGTGGGCAGGCTCAGCGACGGCGCGGACATGAGCCAGGTGGAGGGGTGTGGGTTGCGTGACGTCACCTTCTTACAACCTGGTGTTTTACCTTTCCTCTTAGATGCTTTCTTCACATGTCGGAAAAATGCTCTCCTGGCGAAGAGCACGGCCCCCCAGTTAGAGGGCGACTTTGCCATGGCCCCTCGGGGCACGGACCAGGAGGAGTGTGAGGGCCTGCTGCAGCAGTGGCGAGAAGAAGGGGCGAGCCCGGTACTCTCGGCGGCCAGCGAGGGCCCCCTCGCGGACAAGGGGCTGGCGCAGAGCAGCCTGGCTCTCCTGATGGATAACCCTGGGGAACACGACGCTGCGTCAGAGGACAAGTGGTCCAGCAGGCAGCTGAGTGACCTGCGGGCAGCAGAGAGCCTGGAGGAGCCTTTCCCCGAGGTGCTAGAAGAGGAGCCGCTGCCAGAGGCCGGGGGCCCCCTGTGGACCGCCGTCCCCGTGCAGACAGGCCCCCAGTATGTGGACTGTGCTGTCCTCCCCATGGGTGCCCCCGCCGCTGAGCAGTGGGAAGAGGACCCCGCGGTGGTGGCCTGGAGTATCGCCCCTGAGCCTCTGCCCCAGGAGGAGGCCACCATCTGGCCCTTTGATGGCCTGGGGCAGCTGCAGCCTCCCCCGATGGAAATCCCGTATCACGGTGAGTCTGGCCGTCAGCAGGCCGAGGGAGCTGGCGCCGCAGAGGCTGTCGGCTCTGGGAAGAGCTGCTGCCGGCAGGTGCCCGGGCGGGCGGGGAGCTGGGCCGCTGCGCCTGCTCTGCCTTCCCCACGGTCTCCCAGAGGTGGGAGGTGCGGGGGAGCGGGCTGAGACCTGGCCCTGGTTCTCCTCCTCCACGCTCCCAGGGCTCCCTGCGGGAGGAGTGGGGGTCTCAGCCTCCCCCATCTGCCTCGGCCAGAGTGACTCCCGTGGTCTTTGTGATACACGTTGGGTGTCCTCTACGATGTGAAGAGAGGATTTTGTGGCTCACGAAGGCTTGAAATCCACTGTGCTGCCCCACACTGTAGAGGACATGGGGGCACACTGTGGGCTCTGGCCCCGGGGACCTTTCCAGCTTTGGAGGTCAGCCAACACCCAAGGCTGAGACGACCCCAGCAATGCCCTGGATGACTGATGCTCCAGACTCCTGGGTTGATGGAAAGTGAGGGGTTGTCGGGCTGTAAATCCTTACTGAGCATCTACTAGGTGCCGTGTACGGGGGACGCGGTGGTGAACAGGCCAGGATTCTTTCTGGCTTGTGTTGCTACTCTGGCATGAGAGTGTCCTTGGAGCCCTGGCCCAGTCACCGCAGAGAGGGACAGGTGATAGGAACAGAAGAACTCCAGGCCCCATCAAGAATGGAGAGGGCGGGGCCGCTGGATCGCGCAGCTGTGGCCTTGAACTCTCTTCCAACCTCTTTGCAGAAATCCTGTGGCGCGAGTGGGAGGATTTCTCCACGCAGCCAGACTCGCAGGGCCTGGAGGCAGGGGACGGCCCTCAGTTCCAGTTCACTCTGATGTCCTACAACATCCTGGCCCAGGACCTGATGCAGCAGAGCGCCGAGCTCTACCTGCACTGCCACCCGGACATCCTCAGCTGGAGCTACCGCTTCGCCAACATCATGCAGGAGTTCCAGCACTGGGACCCCGACGTGAGTGACGAGGCCACGTGTCCTCTCGCGCGGGCACCGAGTCCCACCCGTGCTTGCTCAGATGACTGGTCAGTCCGTGAGTTCTGGGCTGATGCTGAGAAGAATCCGGCAAGGTGCACGTGCTTGCTGCCGGGAGGGGCCCCGGGGACTCAGGGAGCTGGAAGAGGCAGCACACGTGACGCCTGCTCAACTCACGTTGGCGGCCGTCGGGGAGGAGTTGGTGCCGTGACCCTGCCCGGGGCCTCAGGTCTGCTCCCAGAGGGTGGACGTCACACCCCGGCACTCTGGGGTGATGGCTTTCTGTGTCCATCCTCAGATCCTGTGTCTCCAGGAAGTCCAGGAAGATCACTACTGGGAGCAGCTGGAGCCCTCGCTGCGAATGATGGGTAATGCAGCCCCTGGCTCGCGTGCCGGTCTCCCCCCAGGCCTGTCTGCCCCAGTCGCACTGGCGAGCTCGCTCCTTCCATGTGTGGGTAGCAAAGAAAGTAGAGGTCTGCAGGTGGCTTGTCTGTTTGTTTTTTAAGATTTATTTATTCACTTGAAAGAGTTGTAGAGAGAGGGGGAGAGAATGAGAGACAGACAGCTCTTCCGTCCCCTAGTTCCCTCCTCAGATGGCTACCATGGCCAGGACTGGGTCAGGCCGAAGCCAGGAGCTTCATCCAGGTTGCCCACGCAGGTGCAGAGGTCCAAGCAGTTGGGCCATCTTCCGCTGCTTTCCCAGGCCATTAGCAGAGAGCAGGATCGGAAGTGGAGCAGCTGGGACACGAACCGGTGCCCATATGGGGCGCCAGTGTCTCAGGCAACGGCCGCTGCGCCACCAATGCCGGCGCTGAGGTCTGCAGTTTTCAAGCCGTCCTGACACCTGTGTATAGCTCTCTGATCCTTGACGTAACCAGCCTGGTGAGGCTGAGCACTGTGCCCATTTTACAGAGGAGGAAAGTGAGGCTCTAAAACTTTCTGTGTTCAAAGTCACAAAGCTGTGACGCCTGACAGGGGTGGAACTGGGGCTCCAGCTCGTTCACCTGCAGAGTCAGGTTCTTCTGATCACCTTATAGGAATCTTGCTGCATTCCCTGCCCTCCCTTCTTCCCCCTGCAGCCCTCAGCGCTCTGGTTTCAAGCATGAGGGAATCCTCTGCATGACAAGTGTCAAGGGCAAGGGTTCCCCTTGCTGAGGGCCTGCACCTTAGACCCCGCTGGGCTCCTGCTGCTGGCTCCCAGGACTCTGACTGGCTGCTTGGTGGGGTTTTCCTTGCAGGCTTTACCTGTTTCTACAAGAGGAGGACGGGGTGTAAAACAGATGGCTGTGCCGTCTGCTACAAGCCGACCAGATTCCGTCTGCTCTGCGCCAGCCCTGTGGAGTACTTCCGGCCAGGCCTGGAGCTCCTCAATCGGGACAACGTGGGCTTGGTGCTGCTGCTGCAGCCGCTGGTCCCGGAAGGCCTAGGGCCAGTCTCAGTGGCCCCGCTGTGTGTGGCAAATACCCACGTCCTGTACAACCCACGCCGCGGTGACGTGAAGCTGGCCCAGATGGCCATTCTCCTGGCCGAGGTGGACAAGGTGGCCAGGTTGTCGGACGGCAGCCACTGCCCCATCATCTTGTGTGGGGACCTGAACTCTGTGCCCGATTCGCCTCTCTACAACTTCATTAGGGACGGGGAGCTGCAGTACCACGGGATGCCAGCCTGGAAGGTGATGTGGGCGGGAGCACGGTCCAGGGAGAGATTCGGGTGTTGACCTCCGGTCTGCCTCTGTGGCAGGGACCTGGGGACACCTGTTCTGGCTCCCTCCTGCTTTCCCTGGTCCGGTTGAGTAGCTGTGCCCAAGTCTGGCAGTTAGGAACCGCTGAATATCTTTGGCATTTTGGAATCCTCTCTGGTTTTTATCACTACTTTTAATTCACCCATAATAAATGTACTACATTGCTGCGAGAACCCAAACGTTGACAGGGCTAAAGCCCCCCGTGGTACCTGTGTTCCCTCCCCTCGCCTTGTCGAGTCGAGGGATGACCGTTGCAAGCTTGGTGGCCTTCGGCCAGTTTGTTCCTATGCATTCAGAGATATATATGTTCCTATGATGTTGTAACCGAGATTGACATTTATGAAGTACTTACTGTGTGCCAGCTGCTGCTTTAAGCGCTTTACCTGGATTAACTCATTACTTTTCACAATTGCCTCCCTGTTTGTGCTTTACAGGGAGGAAGCCAGAGAAGTGAAGTAATTTGCTGTAGGTAACGCAGGTCGTTAGGTGCGGAGTCAGGATTTGTAACCTGGCCAGGTGGTCTGGCCGCTGAGATCTGGCCTTTAGTTACTGTGCTGTTTGCTTCTGACAGCTGATATGTAGTCCGCCGCGTGTGCTTGTGCTGTATACACGAGATACCTACCGTGGTTTCATTTGTAGCGAGGTTTTTCTTTCTCGTAGCATTTTGCACTTAGCTCGCTCTCATTCCTTTTAACTGCCGGATCTCATAGTCTTAAACGGAGTGTGCTGATTGTTTTACAGGTCACAAGTGCTTGTTCCCCTATTTTGCCCTTACTGGTCCAACTTACTGCTGAACTTTTGGCCGGGAGAAAGGACGCGGGATGACTGGACTCTGGTTGGGCACTTTGGGCTTTATTTTAGTGAGGTTTAGTGCCGGTGGTGTCCAGTTGCTGTGTGTGGAGAATGGGCCGGCCCTGCCTAAGGGAGCTGTGGTCACGGAGCTCAGGGAGAGAACAGGAGTCACTGCACGCCTGGCTCGGCAGAGGCACTGTTAGGCGTGGGGAATGAGCGCGCTTGCTCCGAAGCAGGAGCCCCGAGTTCAAATCCCTGCCTTCACGCCTGGCGCGAGTCACTGAGCCCCTGAAGCGCCCTTTGCCTCATCTGTACATTGGAGATGTTACTACCCCGCTTTACGGTGGAGGATACTGGACCGGGGAGTTAACTGACCTGCCCAGTCACACAGCTGGCGATGGGCATTGCACCCCAGGTCTCTCTGACCTCAAACGCCATTGGAGACCCCTGCCCAGCCCCCAGCACCGAGCTAACGTCTTGCACATAGTTGGCACGCAACTATTTGTTGGTTGTTGTTAAATGAAATAAAAGGAATTGTGCTGCACGCGTTGGAGGTACGCCGACGACTGATGCTGCCGACTGTCTCCCCTGCTGCGTTCTGTCCGTTCGCAGGCTGCTCGTCGGCTTTGCCCGAGGATGGTGACGTAGACACGGTAGAGAGCTTTGGCGTGTTTCCCGTGCGGTCTGGCCCTGTAGTTCCCAGCGCAAGGCTCCAGACCTTAGACCTTGATCCGGAAGATCCAGAGATTAGGGTCCAAGCTTCCTGTTGCAGCGGAAGCCCCCGAGGGCGGGTCCTCCCCGAGGAGCACGGCGTGTGTCTTCTGAGGGGAAGTTTCGGGCTCGCACGTTCATGCAGCCCCGTTCCCCTGGGCTCACCTCCCTCTCCTCCCCTTCATTCCTGTCTCGTGGACATTTCAGAGTTTCCAGCGAGAGCGTAGTGAGAGCGTAGTGGTTTCAAGTAGCTCCTTTTTTTTTTTTTTTTTTTGACAGGCAGAGTGGACAGTGAGAGAGAGAGAGAGACAGAGAGAAAGGTCTTCCTTTTGCCGTTGGTTCACCCTCCAATGGCCGCCGCGGCTGGCGCGCTGCGGCCGGCGCACCGCGCTAATCCGATGGCAGGAGCCAGGAGCCAGGTGCTTTTCCTGGTCTCCCATGGAGTGCAGGGCCCAAGCACCTGGGCCATCCTCCACTGCACTCCCTGGCCACAGCAGAGAGCTGGCCTGGAAGAGGGGCAACCGGGACAGAATCCGGCGCCCCGACCGGGACTAGAACCCGGTGTGCCGGCGCCGCAAGGCGGAGGATTAGCCTAGTGAGCCGCGGCGCCGGCCAAGTAGCTCCTTATTTTTAACCTTACCCTGGGACTTGCTGTGGCCTGCTTGTCCCTTGTCTGTAGCGTGAGTTTACCATGGCCTGCGTGTCCCTTGTATGCAGCGTGTGATCACGTGTGTCTGTGTGTGTCCGCACATCCTCCAGCGTGGGCTGGTGCTCCCTTGCGGGCTCGCGCCCCTCATTCCCGCCCTGCTCCTCGCTGCAGGTGTCCGGGCAGGAGGACTTCTCCCACCAGCTTTACCAGAGGAAGCTGCAGGCCCCGCTGTGGCCCAGCTCCCTGGGCATCACGGATTGCTGTCAGTACGTCACTTCCTGCCACCCCAAGCGAGCAGGTGAGCGCGTGCCGGCGTCTGCGCGGGCTGAGTTGTCAGGCCCATTTTGGGAGGAAGCCGGCGCCTGGGTGATGAGAGCCAGCGGAACCCGACCCCCCCCACACTCTCTGCGCAGCTCCCCTCTTTTCCTCTCTGCCCACCCCACGGTCACCCGGGGAGACGGCGACTTTCCCCGCGGCCTCGGGGCTCCTCTCCTTCACCGTGCGGCCTTTCCCGGTTCACAGGGAGACTGAAGTACGGCCGGGACTTCCTGCTGCGTTTCCGCTTCTGCAGTGTCGCCTGTCAGCGCCCGGTGGGGCTGGTTTTCATGGAGGGCGTGACGGACACGAAGCCAGGTAACGGGACGGGCGCCGCGGTGTGTGCGTGGGGCGGCCTCCAAGCCTCTCCTCAGTAGCCCTGAGGGCTTGGTACAGAGCCGCAGGCGGTCACACGCGTGCGTGCCCGGGCAGGCGGGCCGAGAGCTGGTGCTCGGTGGCCCGGAGGCTTTGAGGAGGCTGCCCGTGGGCACCGTGGAGTCGGGAAGGGAGACGCCAGGGGCCTCGGGCTCTGGAGGGCGCCAGTGGTCCTGGTCGTCGCAGGAAGTTGTTCCTGCGGGGGGAGCTTCCAGGCCGAACGGAGCATCGTCCCCTCACGTCTCCGAAGCCTCTAGGAGAGCAGAGCAAAGAAACCAACTCCATCTTTGACCAAACGAGATGGGCAGATGGCTGAAGGCAGGAACAACCGCGACCCCATGAGTGGCTGCGGGGAGCGCGGGCGCCACGGGGCGGCGCTGCGGAGCTCACTGGGCCATCGCTCCAAGCGAGGCACAAAGCTCAAACAGCCCAAGCCAGGAGCCCAGAACTCAGGTCCAGGTCTCCCAGGTGGGTGGCAGGGACCCAGGTACTTAAGCCGTGACCTGCCGCCTCCTAGGATGTGTCAGCAGGAAGCTGGAGTCAGAAGCAGGGCTGGGACTTGAGCACAGACACTCCAGGAAGAGACACGTGGGTGTGCTGAGGGGCTTCCTAACTGCTCTGCCAAGTGCCCACCCCGAAGTCAAGTATGCTATAATCGTGGCAATAGCAATACCAACGACCAGCATGGCCATACTGTGGGATTCCCACGTGCCCACGGCTGGGGTGAATGCTGTGTGGGTTGAGCTCAGGCAGGAGAGCAGTGCTCAGTGTTCCAGGATCACAGGATCCTACGGAGGAGTGGCGACAGGACCCCACCGAGGTAATTCCATGTTACCAAAAAGTTATTTTGAAAAATCATTGCTATACTTGAGTGCAGCATAGAATAACCATTTCAATTCAATAGCAAACAAATTAAACCAAAAGTCTCTAAAATACATACTGACAGTCATGTTGTAAGTAGGAAAGAGTTCATCTTTGGAGGGGAAATAGCCAGTTCACCAGCGGTGCAAAATAGTAGTAGCATTTCCCAACGTAGAGACGGGGCTTGTGAACACGCCCACTCAGCACATACTGTGAGTGTCACCTCACCTGGGGCTGACCAGTGCCTCCTGGGGAAGCCTTTTTAAAGACTCCAAGCGTAAAAACTATCACTGGGCTGGCGCTGTGGCTGTGGCATAGGCAGTAAAGCTGCTGCCTGCAGCGCCAGCATCCCATATGTGCGCTGGTTCAAGTCCTGGCTGCTCCACTTCCGATCCAGCTCCCTGCTGTGGCCTGGGAAAGCAGCAGAGGGAAGAAAGGAAATACTGTCATCTGAACGATTAAACTTTGTTGTAAAAAACAAATCTAAGCAAACTGAAGACTAGCTAGGAAATAATAATGATATGTCCTATGTTTGCGAGACTTGCTAAAACTGCTCATTGAAAAATGCATAGAGTGAGATACAAGATTTAGAATCATAGCATGAGTAAATCTGGAAGGATGAAAATAAGTGAAATAAGCATCCAGTTCAAAAAATTAGAGAAAAGGAAAGAAAACAAAAGGAAAAACGATTAAAATGGAGATAATTGAGAGAGCAGAAAAGCAGTGGCATAAACTCCAAGGGTTGGTTGACTGAGAACCGGCTGTTGATGCACAAGCGCCAGCTAACCTACTTAGCAGGGAAACAGGGCCTGAGAAGTGTCCAGGTGCAGAAGGAAGAAGGCTCATACGGGGTTTCTCTGCTCAGCTGAGTGCAAGAGGAGTGGAAAATGTGGATGGCAAGATGGAGTTAAAAGAGAAGTTTAGTTACTGCTAGCATTTCAAAATTCATGCATGTTTTTGTGTAATACACATTTTCCACAAACTTTTTGAAACCCCCTCATATTCAATTAATGTGATGTATTACATGAATTGATTTTCAGATGCTAAACTAATGTTATAGTCCTGGGATAAATCCTATGTGGTCACCATATATAATCATTTGTATATTTTGCTGGGTTTGGTTTGTTAGCATTTTGTTGAGAACTTCTGCATCTGTATTCATAAAGGACATTGATCTGTAGTTTTTCTTCTTTCTTTGAAAGGCAGAGTTACACTGAGAGAGGGGGGAGAGACAGAGCAATCTTTTTTGTAATTTATTTTATGCAAAAAGTAGAGTTACAGAGGGAGAGAGAGACAGAGACTGCGAGATCTTTCATCACTGGTTCACTTTGCAAATGGCCGCAATGGGTGGAGCTGGGCCAATTTGAAGCCGGGAGACGGGAGCTTCTTCTGAGTCTCCCACATGGGTTCAGGGGCCCAAGGACTTGGGCCATTCTCTACTGTTTTTCCAGACCATTAACTGGGAGCCGGATTGGAAGTGGAGCAGCTGAGACTCGAACCGGGGCCCATGTGGGATGCTGGCACCATAGGCAGAGACTTAATCTACTATGCCACAGCACCGGCCTCATACAGAGAAATCTTTACTCTTGAAAGGGCTGCAATGGCCGGAGCTGGGCCAGACCAGAACCAGGAGCCAGGAGCTGCTTCCCAGTCTCTCACATGGGTGCTGGCATCCAAGCACTTGGGCCACTGCTTTCCCAGGCGCATTAGCAGGGAGCTGGATCAGAAGTGGAGCAGCCAGGAATTGAATCAGCACCCATAGGAGATGTTGGCGCCTCAGGCGGCAGCCTTACCACTAGGTCGTAGCACTGACCCCTGATCTATGGTTTCCTTGGTGATGTTTTTGTCTGATTTGGTATCAGAGTAACACTGACTTTGTAGAGTGAGTTGGGATGCGTCTCCTGCTGTGGGAAGTGTTTGTGAAGGATTTGCACCCGTTCTCTTGCAGGGGCTTGGTAGAATTCACCAGTGAAGCCATCTGTGCCTGGGTTTGTTCTTTGTGGGAAGCTTTTAAATTTCTAACTCAGTCTCCTGCTGAAAGCCTGCTCAGATCTCCTGTTTCTTCTTAAGTTAGTTTCCTTGTTTGTGTTTTTCCAGAAATTTGTCCATTTTACCTAAGTTATCTAATTTTTGGTTGTTTACAGTATTCATGTAGAGTTTTTTGACTTCTATATGGTTTGTAACTAAGGCCCTGCTTTCACTCCTGATGTTATTGAGTATTTTTTCTTCTAAGGGGCTGCCAAGTTGATTCTTGTTACCCTAATGATGTCAAGTGTGTCCTCTCTTCTCTCCTTAGGTTGGTAACCTTTATGTGTGTGTGGGGTACATACATGTGCTGTGTGTGTGCACATGCATTCATGGGTACTTACAGACGCACCATGGCTGGCCTGTGATGGAAGATCTCTAGAGGAATGCGCCAGGAGTTTGATAGCACTGATGCCTCTGGGGAGGAGAACTGAACAGGAGCGAAACTTCACTGATATTTTTTTCTACATTTTGATTTTATACTATGTAGCTGTCTGACCTATTCCCTAAAAAAAAAAATTTTTTTTAATTAATTAACTAATTAATTGAATTACAAAGCAGGGGCTGAGCCAAGGGAGACATGTCTAGGTGAGAAGCCTTGATGGCCGCCCTGGGGAGGTTCCTGACCTCATTGTTTTCATTGTTTTCTTCCTGTTGGCGCCCCTGTGTCTCTCCCTTTCCCCTTCTGGATCCTTCTGGAGCAAGTCAAGGATCCGAGAGGAACTGCAGGGTGCGGTTCTGACCTGCTTCACCGTCGATGGTGATAAGACCTTCTTCTCTCTGGTCCTCTGCAGAGCGACCTGCTGACTGGGCCGAGTCTGTCCTTGAGGAAGACACATCTGACCTTGAGCCTGTCTTCCCCAGGTAACCCTACCTCCGCCCCTGCCTTGGTGTGAGAGAGCAGTTCCCCTCGGTGTCTGGGGACGAGAGAGCGATTCCCATTGGTTGTCTGGAGATAAGTGAGAGAGTCTGATTGGCTGTCCTGTGATGAAAGAGTCCCATTGGCTATCCTGAGACAGATCTGCAGGAGCACTTTGTGCTGAGCCGCGTCTTTCTAATACTTGCTAGGCCGTGTGTGCCACCTTTCCCTGGGGGTAGAGCCTCACAGCAGGCTTGCTGGCCCGTGGCTAGGGCACATCAGGTGTACGAGATGGTAGAAGTGAGGAGTGTCAGGGGGTCTCAGCCTATCTGTTTTTAGGCTAATTCCAGCTAAAGTTGCCAGCCTTTTATCAGCATGGGAGGGAATTTGCTAGGGTTGCCTCATTTGGGATCTTCCCTTAAAAAAGATGCAATAAACCCCTGGGGCAAGTGACCTGGGGAAGACAGAATGGTTTCAGCTGACTGCGGCTCCCCTTCCCGCCCCCCAGGACCGCAGGCACCATCCAGCACTGCCTCCACCTGACCTCAGTGTACACCCATTTCCTGCCCCAGCACGGCCGCCCAGAGGTCACCACCATGCCCTTGGGCCTGGGGACAACAGTGGACTACATCTTCTTCTCGGCGGAGCCCTACGAGAGTGGGAACAGAACTGGTAAGTGCAGCGGGGGCTGGGGTCCCAGAAGATGAGGAGGGGAGGGTGGGCACCCGTGGCCTGTAGGGCGTTCTGGGGGCCCAGGCAGCCAAGGGGCAGTTTCCCAGCAGCCTGGCACTGGGCATGCTTACCTTTCTCCCCACAGGCCAGCTGCCTGCCTTGTGTCTTTGCTTCCTGGAGCAGCAGGGAGAGGGTGTAGGACAACCACTCTCCACCCCTGGTTCAGGTGTAAAGAGAGCACTGGGAGGTGGCCGCGCTTCTTCAGTGGCGGCCAGTTAGTGAGGGACGAGGCTGTGTTGGAGTCCCGTCCCCCCCCCACCCCCCCGCGTCCCAGCTCCCTCCTTGCCTCTGTTTAAAGGTTTCTGAAGTGTCCGCGTTGGTTGCCCGTGCTTAAAACTCAGGTTTGATATAGACCACCTGGATCTCCACTGGGTCCTGGGTGCTGGGCTGGGCATGTGCTCCTGTGTGCCCACACTCTGAACCTGCCTGTTCCAGTCGTTGATGTCAGCCCGGGCATCTCTGAGAGCCAGAGGGCACAGGAGGCAGGAGGGAGGGTGGGCCGCCAAGGGCACAGCCCGCACAGAGCGTGGTTGCCTGGAGGCGCCGCCTGCCGCCTGCCGCCCTGTGCCCCGTGTCTAGCTTCTGGTTTGTGCCCCCCAGACCCCAGGCTGTATCGAGATGGGACTCTCAAGCTGCTGGGCCGCCTCTCCCTGCTCTCGGAAGAGATCCTGTGGGCTGCCAACGGCTTGCCCAACCCCTTCTGCTCCTCTGACCACCTCTGCCTGCTAGCCAGCTTCGGGATGGAAGTCACCGCCCCCTGATGGGCTCCCAGGGGAAGAGAGCGTCTCTTCCAGAAGAGCTCAGTGGATCAGAGACTGGAAATACCCCTGCTTCTGGAAACTTAGAGCCAAGAAACTCATGTCCCCTGCCCTCCCCTGCTGGTCCCTTCTTCCCACCGTTAGGTTCTCTCCGGGCCTGCCTACGCTCTGCCCGTGGTCCCTGCCCCCAGCCTCTTCCTGATCCTGTGCCGCACACTCAGTGAGTGGCCCCGGAGAGGCAGAGGGGGCCCCTTCCTTCCATGTATCCAGCACTCTGCCTTGATTGTTAATTACCAGGGTTGCGGGAGTTCTAGATCTCACTGGTTATTTGCTTTCAGGCTGTTTCTCGGGCGCTCCTCCTGACCCGACCTGCTCCCTGCCTCCGCGACCCCTGGCCCAGCCTCTTGGCAGGCGTGCGTGCGCGAGCTGCTGCATGTGTCACATGTCTGTACTCTTGGGGCAGGGGGCAGCCCGCACGGCTCTTCTTGCCCGTGCCCAGCCCACTTTCTGCACCAGGGCCACAGCCCAGGGGCAGGATGAGAGCGTGTCACAGGGGCCAGGACCGGGGCCCTTCTTCCTCTCCTCCTGGGCTCTGTGAGGCGTGTGTCCTGCCAGCCAGGCCAGGCTTGTCTGGGCTCTGGGAAGGAGGGCCCCAGGGCCTGGAGCAGCGCCTTCAGGGATGCACCTGCTCACAACTCCGCACGGAGCTGGCATGACTTCTCCAGGGCGAGGCCCTTTCCCAGGCGGCCCTGAGGGAGGCGGAAGTGGAATCCCCGTGTGGAGTTGGGTGGGCCGAGGCAGTGCCTGAGGTGTCCACTCTTTGAGGATGAGGAGGAAGAACCCCAGGACACTTGTCTCACCGCGGCCTGCAGAGCGGATGGGGCGGGAGTCCCAGGAGGGGAAGGGCAGCTCGGCCCTGCTGCACTCTGCCAGGGCTGTGGTGCTTCCCCTGCACACCAGGGCCTGGTGCCCGCCCCCTCCTCCCGCCACTCTGCGCTGCCTCCTGCCATTCACGTCCACTTTCTCCAGCGGAGCCTGCTTTAGCTGAAGCTCAGCTGGCTCAGCGGAAGGGTGGCCTGGGGTGGAACCAGGACCTCGAGGGCTGCTCAGTCCAGCAGGCCTCGGCTGCTCGGTGCTGCTGCTGCGTTCACTCCCCTGACCCAGGGGTGCTCCCTACTTGCCCCTCCTCACACCCCTGACCCAGCCTCGCCGTGGGCCCCGCTTGCTCTTACAGCTGCCAGCCCGGCCTCTGCAATGGACTGAAGAGAATGGCCAAGGGCCTGAGTCAGGGGCAGCACGCCGGAAGTTAACGTGCGTTCCTTTCTTTGAAAGCCAAAGACCCGGCTTGAATTCTGTTACATTCGTGGTTCTGAGATTTCCATGCCTTGGTTCTGGGGAGTTTGTTTTTCCAGGGAATTGATTTTTCTATGTATGTGTATCTTTCAGTTTTGTTTCCTAGGGAATAGGCATGTGCCTGTCTGAGCCCCAGGCCTGTCTGTCCACAGCGCCCCCTTCACTCTGTCCCCAGCACCTCCTGAAGCGGCCTCCAGATGGTGCCTCTTGCTTCTTAGGACGGGGGCCCAGCTCAGGAGAGACAGCCTGGAAACGGCTAATGGTGGCGGAGGACAGGAGCTGAGATGTGCTTTAGTTTGCTTGTATTGTTTTGGAAATGAAATAGGGGTTTTCAATGGTCATTTAAGCTCCCTTTTTCCAAATAAAGGTTTGCCTTTTTGCCCCTACTGTTGGTCATTATGGAAGCCAAGGGGTCTCTGAACAGGGCTGGCAGAGTGAGGTGGGTAGGATCCAGACCCACGCTTGGACCTGAGCGATTTGCTGTGACCCCCATCTCCACCACTCTGAGATGAGGTGGGCTGGGCAGGCAGCTCCCTCTTCCATCCCCACCAGCTGAGAGGAGAATGGCTCTTTGAGCTGCCTTTCACTGCGGCTGTGGCACCGCCCCGCGCCTCCCCCTGCACAGTGACAGTGATGGGAAGCGGGTAAGGTGAGCCTCCCCATGGAAGCACAGCGGCTGCAGGAGGCGTGGGGCAGTGCCTCTCGCAGAGAGTCTATTTCTGATCATCCCTCTTATATTCGGGAGCTGGTGCTGAGCCATGACCATCTGTCGCTGGAGACATCTCCCTTCCTTCCTGGGCCTGGCGCTGCTGGTTCCTGGGTCTCTCTCCAGCATCCCGTGCCGCAAGCCCTGCCAGGCCCACACACCCTCAGGAGCCCTGACACCAGGTGTGGGGCGCCACCTTCCAAGGTTCCACACTGAATCAGAGTTACGTAGCGCTCCCTGAGCTGGGGTCCACAGATGAGGTGAAGGGCCCGGGCTTGGGAACCCGACCGGTCATCTCGGCCTGGTTGGCTGGGGACTGTAGGAAGGTCAGCCACGGTGTGTTCAGTGCACATTCCCTGGCGGGATGGAAGTGAAAGTCATGGTCACTTCCACTTGTGAGCAGGTTTCAGATCCTAGTCTTCCTCTGGGCTTTGGCAAGGAAAGGACGCTAAGAATTCCAGACACCGCTGGGAGGAGCTGAGGGTGTGCGGTTCTCCCTGGCCAGGCTGGACGACCGGGCTGCGAGCTGGGACGCCTTCCAAAGCTTGAAGGCCTACCTGGCGACCCTACTTGGAATCCTCAGTAGGTAAATTAATTAAAATCGTCCTTGCTCTCAGGCATCTGCGAACTGAATCAGCAGTGTCCTCGGTCAGCTCCCTAGCAGAGCCGAGTGCCAGGAGCTCGCGGGGGACACAGCCGCCACCTGGGAGGCAGTGTGTGCCAGCTCCGGTCAGCGTCGGCCCTGGGGTCAGGCACCCCGGCTCAATTGCGGGCTAGCCAGAGAGGCCGCGGCTTGCTCTTCTGGAGAGCGTGAGTGCTGATCTCAGCTCTGCAGTGCTGCCGCGAGGGTCCGGAGAGAGAGCACTGTGAATGGAGGGTAGGGCCACGGCAGGAGCGGCGTGACCTTGGCACCACTTTAACAAAGGCTGGTGCTCACCCGGTGGTGATGCCGATAGGAGCTCAGTACGTTCTTAGAGCAGAACTACACTCCAGTACAAACTCGAGTGGGGGGAAGCAGGCTCTAGGCTTGGAGGTGTGGCCCCACAGTCCTCTCCCTGGGCCCCCTCATCGCCTCCGTCACTTAGCTTTGCACAGCACTTTTTAAGATTGATTTATTCAATAGAAAGGCAGAGAGAGAGAGAGATACCTTCCATCTGTTGGTTCACTCCCCAGATGGCTGCAGTGGCTGGAGCTGTGCCAATCCGAAGCCAGGAGCTTCTTCCAGGTCTCCCACATGGGTGCAGGGCCCAAGGGCTTGGGCCATTCTCTGCTTTCCCAGGCCATAGCAGAGAGCTGGATCAGAAGTGGAGCAGGCCGGGCTTGAACCGGCGCCCTTATAGAATGCCGGCACTGCAGGTGGAGGCTTTACCTGCTATGCCACAGCGCCGGCCCCTGGACAATGCTTTTGTTAGCAGTGCACACAGTGCCCCCACGTGACTGAGACAACAGCACTTCGAGGCGGGGTTCAGGTGTGTTCAGATGGCACCTCTACAGCTGAAGACACAGAAGTTCCCAGCGTGTACACTGGGATCCCTTTGCCTTATTGTCACCCCAAGCTCCTTGGAACAGATTCTCTCTGGGAGAGAGGCCGTTACCTTGTGTGGTGGTCACCCATGTGGGATAGGGGCCCAGGACGGGCAGAGAAGGCTTTTAGCTGGAGACCTCTCCTGGCCTGGGGTAGCTCTTCCCTGCAGGATTGGGTACGCAGTGAACACACAGCGTGGCTTCCACCAGGGGGTGCTGCCCTCCCCTGGCTGCCAACACCTGGGTGCACCCCCCCTGCTCCTTTCCTCTCTCTTCTAAACAAACGTGCGGCAGGAACCCGTCCCAGGCAAGAGCCACCCAGATGAGGGCCCGGCAGAGTGCATTTCCACCAGGCCCAGGAGAGCTGAGTTGGCTGACTGGAAGGGAACCCCGCCCTTCTGCCCAGCCCCTCGGTTCCCGTCACCCCGAGTAAGGCCTGGGCCCTTGGCCAGCTGTGAACACAGCAGAGTCGCTGCACTGAAATCCTGAGGTTTTGTGTTTCCCAAGACCCAGTCCTTTCTGGCCAGGGGTCCAAGACAGTCTGTCCGTCTGTGTGCAAACTGCCATATGGGTTGACCTCCAGATGACTGGGGTGGCACCTGGCTACCACCTGCCAGGCCCCAGTTGGGCTCCCTTCACTCCCACTGGCAAGCACTAAGGGTGGCCAGGCAGCCTGGGCCTGGCCGTGACCCCCACCTCCTTCCAGCACTGCCCTCCACAGTAGCGGTCGGAATGCCGGACCCTGACAGAGAGGGGTGGCAGAGCTCCAACCTCTTCACCTCCAGGGCTCTGAAAGGTGCCACCTGCAGCCAGAGGGCCACGCTGATTAGACACATGCCTAAATCGGCTGCACCTGCTGTGAGCCAGCTGCCTCCCCCTGAGGGGCCCCCAGGGGTCTCTGCGGACACGGCCTGTGTGGGAGCGGTCTCCGGGAAGCCTGCACACCAGGCCCTTGTCCTCCCACTGGAGCGCACCGACACTGCCTTTGTGAAATCATGATTCTGGTCACCTTTACCGAAAGGCTCTTTTGGGCATTGCTGTAGCTGGAGTCCACTAAGCCTGTAGCAAAACTGGCCCTGTGGGTGGGACAGAAGCCAACACCTCGTCTCCCCAGCTGCCAGGCCTCCTCGGGAGCCTTGCTAGCACGTCGTGAGGTCTGGCTGGGGGGAGACCTCCCGTCTTATTTCTTAAGTCTGGGGTTTTACTTCGGGCTGAATGAAAGAACAGAGATGTGAGGAGGGAGACTTAGGTCTGAAAACTCCTTGGGAATCTGAAAGGTATTTTCTGTGCCAGTCCTCCTTCAAGGGTTGGGCTTGTGTTCAAGTGTGGGAAGAGGGCCAGAGCCAGAGGGGCAGCGGAGGGGTGGGGGAGGCTGGCAGACCCAGGTGTGTCCCCCGAAGCTGTGACTTTCACCACTGGGTGCGCTCCGGGCTGGCGGCTGTGAGGAGGGACTCCAGACCCCTGTTGCCATGGTTCCCTGAAATAAGGTCATCTCCCAGGAGAGCCCTCCCCTTGCTCCCCGTCCCCATGGGCCACTGTGGATGGGGACAGGAAGAGCAGGGCTCTGGAATGCACGCTGGGCGCAGGCTCTGGGGCCCCGGCGCAGTGAGGGAGAAGCAAGGACCCACTCCCGGATTAGGGTTCACAAGAAGCCAGTGGCTTCGGCTGGCTGAGGATGAAAGTCTGGGACCCCAGAGGCGCCTCAGGACGGCAGGGGTGGGAGTATCCTGGTCCCTGGCTTCAGGCTCCCCGCACCACTGTGGGGATGCGCGGACAGGGCCCCAGCTCCCAAGGAAAAGGAGACGCAGCAGCTGGGGTGTGGTGATGCCAGCCCAGCCCACACATCGGAGCTGGGAGACTTTATTCATTTCAGGGCAGAAGTGAGAACAGGAATGAGACGAAGTGTCAGGGAGAAAGGGAGGGGCAATACTGATATGAGCACAGGAAGTACAATGTCAAGTATAACACGGCAGCCAAACACAAGGCCTGGGGGAGGGGTGGTACTCCGTCACCAACCCGGGCTGCTTCCCTCCGGAACCTGGGACTCAGAGCACCAGGCTGGGGCAAGAGGGCCGACACTGACACACCCCCGGCTAGCACCACGCAGCCCTGGGGTGGGGGAAGCTGGCGGGAAGCTGTAGTACCTGGCAGGGGCACCCCCCGCAGAGCACTGTTCCTGCCTTCACACCGTCCACAAGGCCAGGGGCTCAGGGCAGAGCGTGGTGCTGTGGCCCAGCCAGGAGATGGCTGCAGGCAGGAAGAACAGGTGTGCACACTGGCACAGGTGCCCCTGGGCCCTCTGCCAGCCCGGTTTCCCATCTAACCCCAGAGCGGGGAAGTCAAGTCCAAGCTGGAAGGGGCAGGATGGGAGTGCCAGGAAGGGCCGGAAACCAGATGTGGTCAACTCCTGGGTTCTCTCTACTCCTCAGACCCCAGCCCCGGCTTTGTGCCTGCTGTGCCCTTGGCTGCAGCCAGGGAGGGATGGTGGTGGCGGGCATGATGGGGGAGGGGAGTGTGGGGACGTGGGGAGGCTGCAGAGGGGGAGGACTGGCAGGCAGGTGGACAGCTTCCTAATGCTGACCCCGGCCCCCCTTCCCCAGGCGGCTCAGGCTGACCTCACCTTGCCCCCTCCTCAGCCAGCAGCCCCCACCTGCAGAGGGCATAGGAGCTGGGCTCCCTCCCCAGCAGCCAGGCCCCGTCCCTCCTGGGGAGTGAGATGAAGTGACGCCATGGACGGTGACTAAGGCCCCGAAGTCCCTGTCTCTGCCTCCCCAGAACCCCGGCAGCCAGGCCAGCCCCGGGGAGCAGAGCCTGTGTAAACATGCCCAGCGGGGAGGAGGGGCCGCTACATAGGAGAGACTGTTCAACAGAAAGTAAGAAGCACCGCTGCGGCCTGTGGTGGTCGCCCTAGGCGAGGTCTCGGCTTGGGAGGGGAGTGCCAGGGGGCTGCCAGCCAGGGAGGGGCGGACCGTGGGTCAGGGCTCTGTTCTGCTTCCTTTGCCCCCCAGGGTTCTGCAGGACAGGCCCTGTGGTCCAGCGCAATCCTCAGGGTCCTGGACCCTCCTGAAGCAGGCTCCGGCTCCCAGCGCCCTGATGGCGAGTGACACCCACACCCAGAGGGCAGCGTGTGCAGCCTCAGGCCTCCCAAGGGAGCAA